CGAGATGAAAAAGATACTCTCGAAATTGATTCTTCCAATGTAATACACCACCTCTAAAATTTGTAATTCATTCGAATCGTCATATGTCGTCTGTTACATGTTCACTTGGTTTTAACATTTTAACGTTTGCTACTGTTTTCCTAGGAATTCGCTGAACAAGAGAAGATTATCAAGGAAATGCAGCTTGACAACCGGCGGTTACAAAGGGCAACTGTAAGCGTAGACAATCGGCCAAATAGAATTTGCTACGATACACCGTGCGGATGGTATACCTACGACTCCTTGACACGGCAGACCACAGTTTTCATGCCGAATACGTAAGTAACGAAATTATGATTCCGCGAAGCTATCAACTAAATACTTTTTTTTTTTTTTTTTTGATGAAAATTCTACCCACAGTATTTCTACTTAGAGTATTGTATATATGCGATAATTCCGCTATTCATATTATAGTACAATTTTCATTGTTTCATTTTGTTCCTTTATCTAATATATTTGTCTAATATTTATGAAATATTAGATAAAAATATTCAGATCTCTAATATACTAAGCTCTAATATATTTGTCAAATATAATATTCTATTTTTTATTATATTTTTTTATTTTATATTATTTTATTTATATATTCTTTATTTTATATTTTTTATTATATATTATATATAATAGCTCTGATATATTTGTCAAATATTTATGAAATACTGGATAAAAATATTCAGATAATTAGTATTCGATATCTGTTACTCCTTGACTGAATACATCAGCTCACTATAAAAAGACATTTTACTCTTTCTTTTCTTCTTTAGCTGTAAATGTCCTGACGAAACGTACAAGTGTGTGCGTACAGGCGAAAAGGTGTCTATGAGTGCGTACATATATCACTGTCGACAAAATACAACGGCGGATGACATCGAGGCAGAAATGTTTGATGATATGGAATATCTCATGTAAGAGAGGCGCAGATATACTTGAGCGACCAGTGGTTTTTCGCTGTTGCCGCCATCGCGCCGAACGGAGCAATTCTCAAATTTTGTATCGAGATAAAACATATATAGTTGAAATATATATCGATTATATTATACCAATTGTATTAACCACTAATGATTTGAATACTTTTAACAAATCCTGTAGTAAATGTTGTAGAGTAAAAATAAATGGGAATAAATA